GGGGGGGGGGGGTGGTGGTGGTGCGGGGAAAACCCAACCGAAACCACCCAAACTAGCTTGAGGAAACTAACAAGTATGGTTCTTGTAATGTTGCAGATAATGTATGTGCTGCATAACATGCTTTGATACTCCCAGAGGAAAGTTGGTAAATACAAATTATTCATTGAACTTTTCTGTCTTTAAGGGGAAGCCATACCAATCTATGCAGAAATTGAGAACTGTTCTTCTCGTTTGATTGTTCCAAAAGCTGCCATTTTCCAAACACAAACTTACCTGGCCAGTGGGAAGACAAAAACTTTCCGTCAGATGGTTGCCAATGTCCGAGGAAACCATATTGCCTCTGGGAGTACAGATACCTGGAATGGGAAAACTCTGAAAATCCCACCTGTGTCCCCCTCTATACTTGACTGCTGTATTATTAGAGTAGAATATTCATTAGCTGTAAGTATGGATTTTTATTACAAATGTACGTACTCTTGAATATTATATTGAGTTAGGAACAGAAGAATTTTCTCTACTGAGCAGCTATTACATTTTTTAATTTGGGAACAACAATAAATATAAATAAATATTGTACACAATATAGGTGAGAGACTGAAGCTCATGAAGAGATTCTGAAATGGAAAGATAGAAATAATGGGGAAAATGGAACTATGTTTCTGAGGAAGAAGCAGCTTAGTTTTAGACCTGCAGAGGTTATTAGGGGAAAGAAGTTCAAGCTGGGAATATAGGACTGAAAGTCAAGTCGTAATTTTTGTCAGCCTGTTGTGTATTTTTTTAAATGTCCTCTAGAGACAAGGTACAGAAAGAAGGAAGTTGCTGGAAAATAAGGAAAGCTGCCAGAGTATTAGCTAAACACACCTGGGATGAGAAAACTCCTGATTTTTAAACAATCTGCAGTATAGGGAGTTGGGTAGGTTCTAGGATCAGCAATTCAATGGGGTCTCATGATGCTTTTTTCTTTTATTTGGGGCTTGTCACATAGGTGTATATCCATATTCCTGGTGCTAAGAAATTGATGATTGAAATGCCTCTGGTGATTGGCACCATTCCATGTATTGGATTTTCAAGCAGAAACTCCAGCATTACCAGCCAGTTTAGTATGGATATGAGTTGGCTGGCATTGACCATGCCAGAACACCCTGAAGGTAATACATATTGAACTCTATAATACAGCATAGTACTGTCTACAACAGAAGGGATAGTAGTGCCAGTTTAAGGGCACTACTAGGGATGTAGGCCATTGAAGTATCACTCGGGAGAAGTGAGGGACATAAATTGTCAGTCTAGATCCAAAAGGATTGATGAGGATAGCCTAATTCCAGCCTTTTTTAAGTCTCTCTCTACCCCTATCTGACTACGTTTGGCTGAATCTTGAAATAACTAACTTCTCGTAGTGGGAATTCTCCTTTGGAGGTAGACACCTCAAAGTTAATCATTACTGAATATATCTTGATACAACACAGGTTTGTTGCTGCAGTAGCCCTAAAAGCATCTGTAATGTTCCTGCTGAGTCACCTAAGCTAACTAAAAACATAATTCTAGTTATGGTATTTATGAGTATAGTGCATTTCATACAATTTGACAATAGTACAATGTTTAATAAATACAGTCTTCATGGTCTACCATACTGTAATACATATGTTGTCTTGCTGTGAGTAGTTTGAAATTTGACAGTAGCATCTCTTGTGTTTCAGCACCACCAAATTATGCTGATGTAGTGTCTGAGGAAGAGTTCTCCAGACATGTTCCTGCTTATCCACCACCAATTGACTGTGAGGAACAATTGTGTTGTCCTGTCTTTGCTTACATACAAGAGTTCCGGTTTCAGCCTCCACCTCTTTATTCAGAGGTAAAAAAATAAACAGCAGGTGGTGTTTTTATTTATTGTCAGATGGCAAAAAAAAAAAAAGACCCCACATACCAAAATGCAAGAATTATAGGCAGTAATTGTTACCTTTCTTCTCTCTGTAGATCGATCCACATCCAACCGATGTAGAAGAAATTCAGCCTGTTTCATTCATGCTCTGAAGAGGATTTATAATGAGCATCATTGTGATGAATGTCTTAATCTTTCTGCTGCTTAAGCTGATAGTGCAGCTAAAAAGGAAACAGTTTTCTTTTTCAAAACTTGTTTGTGTACACAAAAGGCAAAGGAAAATGGAGAGGGAGGTACGAGCATGTTTGGTGATGGAAGAGAATCTGCTGGATTAGTCTGCACAGAGGATACTGTGGGAGCAGCTGTGCTTAGGATACTTGAGAAGTACCTGAAAATACCGAATGCTTTCTAAAAAGTGGATGTACTACATAAAGTACGAAGAGATGTAAGAATCTTCTGAAGAGAAAATAATTTATATTTTGTTTGGAACACTCTGGAAGAATTTATGTAATGACGTTGACGTCGAGAACTTCTGTAGTAGAACTTGCATAGTAGAACAGAATGTGGGGTAAGAAAACATTTCCAAAAGATTCCAGTGTTCAAGGGGCTTCAGTTTTGCACTGTCTGCATCCAACAAAGGAACACTACTAAAAGGCAGAGTGAAGTCTTCACTCTAGCTTAACTTTGTATTTCATGAGAACCTGCCCTTCTAACGACTGCCAAGTGGTACTATTTCATCATTCATCATGATTCTAAAGACATCATGGATGACAGAATAGCTATTACGCAATATTATGAAGGCAACCATTTACTGAATGAAAGACACAAGTATGTAAAAGAAAATTGAACTTTGATAAGAGCTTATGCACTATGCTTTCTTTCAAGGGATTTCTTAAGGGAATTAATTATTCTAGCCTCTTCTACTGTGAGTTCTTTTTGTGCAACTTAAGCCTATGGATAGCATGTAAGGGGAAGCATGGCAAGGGAGAATCCTTTTGCCAACAGCAGGTGTACTTAGCAAAATGGACAATACTTATTTATTCAGAAGCCTTTATAAGCCTACCTCTGTTTTGGATATTCACTTAATGGTCAGATTTGAGACCAAAAAAAGTCTTGTTAAAGCTCCAGTATACTTCAAGGTTCTAAAAGGGACCCTTAAATGGTTTCTGTGGTTAATGAATGAGATAGGAGGCATAGGGAGAGGTGTAAATATACCCAGAATAGACATAGCGTACAACTAAAGTGAAAGCAGACATCAGGGGAACAAAATCCTCTGGTAACAGCACAAAGCTTTTCATTACTCCTGCATTTTTGTCTAGAGATCTATTGTTGGGCTGCACTGGTCATTTGCTATCCATACTATTTTTTGTTGGTATGTTTTCTTGGGGTTTTTTGCTGTTTAATTTTGTTTTGGTGCAATATTTTAATGTTTTCTTCCTCAGGTCATTTAGAACAGTGAGAGTTTGTTGCTGCTAAGAGTGAAGGCACAGCATTTAGTTGGCCCTTCTGCTGCCTTCATTTAAAGTAGAATGTTTGCTTCCTGCCAAGCATCAATTGGAATAAGTAAGCCACCATCAACAGATCACTTAAAGGAGCAGAAACACAGCATTCTCAATATGCACGTTTACAGTCGAGTCTTTAAACTACAGGGGATTTTGAACTACTAGAACTACTCCCTGTGTCTTACAGAAGGGTTTGGGGTTAAAACCCGGTGCTTCATGTGGTAAAACATTGTACCTTATGGTAACTACAAGAACAGTAATTGAGTTTCCTTCATTTCATCAAATAACTGCAGTTTAAAAAAACTTAAAATGTTTTTTTTATGAAATCTGTCTTCATTTAAGAAGCAGGGATTTTTCTACAGGCATACACGGATATATATTTTTAGTCGTCTTTTAGTATGACTTCCTTACATTGTCTAATTTCTAGCACTTCACCTCAAGTCACTTTTGCATCAGTGTAAAAGACACACTGATTGAGAATCATGTTTCCAAACTGCAGTTATTTTTTTCATTTGCAACTTTAAGTTTTGTCTTCTATAGCAAATGCAGCTTTAACCAAAATTTGAGTGCATGTTTTAGAAAGGACATTCTAAAAATTAAGTCTCAAGATGTAGCTCTCATGCCTTTATACTTTAAAGTGATGGCATGCCCATACAATCAATGCAGGATTTTCATTCACATCACCTGGAAAGGGAACAAGCGTATTTTCCTTAAACAGATACCATTATAGTTACTTGAAAAGTAATGTGGCTATGTATTAACTTGCATGTTAATAATTCAAAATATTAGCTTAAAGAACATAGGTGCTTTTTTGGACTGTAATACCTGATAGGTGATGTGTGCTACCCTGGTATAAACATGGTCAAGCAAACAAACGCATGAAGGGTAAAGGTGTGCTTCCCTTCCCCCGGCCCCCCCCGCCCCCCAAAAAAAAAGTCTTTGAGTTGTTTTTTATTATTTGCAGATAAACTGTGGCCTTAAATTGTTTGCTGCAAAAAAGACAACTAGAATGTGTTTCTTAGGAAGCACACATGGCCCTTCAAACGAGGGGTGAAAACAAGATTAAATTCTGCTCTCTGACACTTGGCTTAGTGCAGAAATTGATCCTTAAAATAATTACTGTTTGCACAATAATAAGTTCAATATGCAGGGGCTTTGTTTTGATAACTGTGAAACAGTTTAAAAGAGACAAAATAAAAAAAAAAACAAACATGCTGTTTAACATACAGGAACATGATTGTATTTTGTACTAATGAATGAGCCCCATGGGTTCTTTGTTAATAAAAGTGTCAAACGTACATAGTGCTGTTCATCTCTGCTTTGGTGTCTCGAAGACAACTGGCTGCAATGTCAAGAAATACGTGTATCCTGCTAACTTTGAACACATACCAATCTCCTACTTCTTTTCTGATCTGGGAACTTTGCTTTCATCTGTCACTGCACTGTTCCTGAACTATCCATAACCAAGAATTGGAACAAATCTGTCAAACATGGCTTGCTCCCACCTATATTATGTAATATACAGAACTTAATTGTGGGTATCTTACCCATAATGATTGAAGTGGCAGGATGTGTGCTCTAATTGGATTTCTCATCTCATGTATTAATCTTACAGGATATTTCAGTGTGTTTCCTTTAGACAAGATTATCTTTACTGTGTAGTTCATTAAGCTAAATATATCAGTCATTCTGTACTATGGTTATAAGGTTGTTCTAAAGCAGAGTACTTCCTACCATGGGGAAACAGATGACAAATTCTATCTACCACATAGCTCACCTAAGTCATAAATGAGATGATGAAATCTCTCTCAGTGTCCTGCCTCTCAAAGATTTGAGGAACGACAAACAACAGTTTTTTTTCTTCCTGCTTCTGCTTTTAAGGGAAGACAGCAAACCTCTCCTTGGAAAAATGCAGGTGAAGATGCTGTTCTGGATCACATGTTCAAGCACTGGAGCTTGCAGAAAGGCTCACAACTGGTAGAAAGGAAAATGCAAAACCTCAGATTCTGGTCTTGGATTTCTAAAAGGTCTCTTACTAAATGATCATAAAATAGCCTATCACTAAGTTCACAGTAGCAATTCCACTTCATCCACTGTTAAGTTTTATAGGGGATTATTTCTGTTGACAAACTCTAATTGTCTATTAAAATACGTTTAGTCTTTAAACAGGCAGTGAACGATGTGCTCTGCTATACAGGGATAGAGCAGATACTGCAGGCTTGTGTTTGCAGCTCTGATCCTTCTGCTGTTTGCATGGAAACACACAATTCACATATAGAGTAAGAGAGATCATTTAATCAACTCCTGGGGTATGTTCCAAACTATCAAAATAACATGTTCCATTACTTCACCACCCAATTTGAAGAGCAAAAGGGAACATCTAATTGAATTTGTATAAATCTCTATGTATATCAATAAAGAAGTGTTTGGAGAGCACAGCTTGCAGACAAAGTTGAAGATAATTTCTCTACTAACCCCCAAAAAACCCACAGCAGAAATGCCTACTTTCTAGTAAAATTCCACTGATTTTCATTACTCTCCTTAGGGTGGTGAATGTACACAGGGACATGGAAAAAATGGCTTTCAGACCACTGCATTTTCTAAAGCTGATTATATAATACATTAACATCAATAGGGATAGTACAGGCTACTGCACAAAGTAGAATCTCTAAAGAGCTAATTAGGTCTATGATGAACCCAGTCTCTCAGTTTTAATATTAAGATTTTGTATGTGGCATAGTCAGGGTGACAATCGTGTTCCAAATTATGTAGTGATCATAATTTCTGAACGATTAATATGAAATGATAGTACACAAAAGCTGTACTACAACATCACCATGTTACGGGCATTTTAGGACAACTGACTAAGATGCTAAGAAGTCAAATGGTAAGTCAAAACAAATGTAAAGCACAGTTTTACGTGGAATGCAAAATGGCAACTCAAGTGGGACTTCACTGGAGTAGCTGCTTATGCCAGCAACGTGCTGTGGGCCTTCTTAGTTACACGGGACAGACTCTATCTGATTAAGTACAACTGTATTACTGATAAATCTCTGAGCACCCGTCCCTTCAAAAGAAAAGAGGAAATCCTTCTTAGTTTTAGCTTACATTCAACCATCTGGCTGCCTGTAGGGTGAGGCGAATATGAAATGCAAGGTGAAAGTAGGAGCAAGTGCTGGTGCTTGACCAACACCTACAAATAGATTGCCTCAAATGATCTGAAGAATGCAGAGCAGCCCAAAACATCTTTATACAAATGCACAAGATAGATAGTTGCCTGTGTCAAGTGATGGCAGAGTTTCTTCTTATTATTAGTGGTCTCAAATAACAAGTTACTGTGGTCAGATTTAAGGATAACCTAAGTATCATGTCAGGTATATTTTTACTAAGCACTCAGCAACTGTGACGGCCTAACAAAAAGCACCACCCAAACATCAGACCAGCCCTTCTGCTTTGTTTCTAGCTCTACTCAGCATCCCAGACCCCTATGGATACCCTTGCCCTGCTCTCCCCTCTCCAGCAAAACTGCTCATTGATACTTTGCTTGTAGATGTAGATGGAAGTCTCTGTAGGCTCACACAGATGGGGAGAGCAGCATAAAGACATTTCTAGTCTCGTTAAATGGAAGGAGAACAGAGGTAAAAATGGTAGGCAGTCGTCGATGTGGGGGTTGTGGGATGGAAGCTGGATGAGTGGGCAAATGGGGTAGGTAAGGTAAGAAGCGGTCGTTGTCAGGCAGAGGACACAGCAGCGAGCACTCCTCTGGGAGGGGATTCCACCTGAACACCAAAAACAACCACTCGCCCGCGACTCTTTTTACTGTCAGGGCTTGGTATCGGACGTGGTGACACACACTGTGCACAGATGGGATGCAGATATGTAGGCTAAACCCAGCCAAATATTTTTGGCTAT